GTCTTTTATCCATCCAGCCGGAGCCAACCGAAAGCGTTGTAGGAATTGAAATCAAAAGCCAGTACGGTTTTACTGCTCCCCCATATTGTTTGTCATGTTTCTACTTCACTCATACTCCATGAAATATAACATGTCTGTATGAACATCACCTCAGCCCGAACAATCTATCAAGGGTTAGAGAGCTGTGGTACTCTTTTCAAAATCCTGACTCTTCTTAGTAAGGTCGCCTTCTGCAGTTCATCCACCTTAATTGCTTCATCAGTTTACCTTATTGGGTCCTGATAGTATCATTTCACTGCTCTGAGGGCACAGATCACCACCAGAACGAATTCCCCCTTTCCTCTCCAGATCTTTCATATTGCCGTCCTCAATTTTTGGTATTCCAAGAGTGTTTCTCTTTCCTTAACAACAACGCTGCCGTCAGTCGGGCATGCTTTATTAATTATTTGCGCCGCTTTTTCGTTTTGTCTACAAATACTATACCTGAACAGTGAGACGACAGTTCTTTCTCGGTTCGTATTAGCAAGTTCCAGAGTGTCTTCATTTTCTTTCTCTCTTCCGCTGCTGTCTACTGATGTTTCCGACTTTACTTTGTCACTTATAAGTCCGCTCGCTTGCACAAATGCCAGTGGACTATCCTTGCAACGTTATTGTGCTTTTCCTTGTAGTCTCGAGTCGAGAGCATTTCTCAGCCAGAAATTTGATGGGCCACAGTCTCTTTCTTCACTTGACGCATTATGCACTTTGCTCCTCTCCGCATGTGCAAGATCTTCTCGTTGTGTGAATTCTGTTTAGTCTTTGGTTGTGGGCGGTTATTTGAAGGTCTTCCGTTTCGCCATGGTGCCTACTTCGTGACATAGTATGGTGTATGTCTGTGTCTTCACGAATTGGCGATGATACTGTCCAAGAAGCTGTTTATTCTTCAATTATCGTATCTGTCGTTCTCTACACTTGCCTGATGATTTTCTGCATTTTCAGCTATTTGATGTTCTCGTTTACACCGGCCGTTAACTTTACAGCCGTCAGCACCCTATCGTTCTTTTCCTTGCTAGACATTGCATTACGCATGACATCTCTAATTCCAGCGTATCTTTGTTATTATGAATTCCTCTTTTTTCTTATTTGCGCTGTACATTTGGTCTGTATATATCTGCTCTTGGACATACCAGCTCGTATGGGCTCAAGATCTTTCATGTATTTCAATCCAGTTCTGGCCTTTCCGCTTGCCTCCACTCGAAGATGCTTACTGTACAAACAGAGACTAGTGGTGTATAGTGGTTAATGGCCATAATTTTGTTTGTTCCGCACTATTTGCTCTTCAGGATTCACTTCTTCTCTCCTGTTCCGTTACTTTTATTTTTTCATGCAATATACTATCAAGTTACAGCATACCAAAGTACAGTATTTGCAAGACTTCTGCAATGACTGTTCTGACTGTTCTTCCCCCAAACTGTTTGTTTCACTAGTCATAAAGTCACTCTGTCGCTGTTCTAAATATCTCCGTTCTTAATCTCCATTATA